GTTACTTTGTTGAGAATGTGGCCATGTAATAAGCGGGATAATTTGCAGCGACTTGTTCCTTATGGGGAAAATAACACCCTTCATCCAGATGAGGATCCCTCCGCTACACTTTGGGATCCTGATCGACCGACGAAGCTCCATTAAAATATACATATTTTTGGTGAATTACTGAGTTTAGGCACGTTAATAACGTTTTAATGAAGTTGAATACAGTATATTCATATGTGTCAGTGATTTCATGTCAATTCGGCGAACATAAACATAAATGATCGTGGTGAAGATGATGATTAAATTAGGATTAAAAATCGAGAGCCGGGCTGCATTTCCTCCCGTTCGTTTTTTTCGAATAACAAAATTATTTTGTTAAATAACAACATGTTGATGTTTTGTAAATGATTACATGTCTCTTATTTAGCACAGAGTATGATATCCGTGACATATGGATCTTAACAAAGTTCCGCTGTACATCCAGCGTACTGTATCTCACTTTATTTCACATGAGCTCCAGTGTGGAACCCCACTGCACCCCCTGGTGGATCAATGATCCATTGCAGCTGGCTTCATTATAATTACATGTATCTATGACGGGGGCGGTCTCAAGTCAAACTGGAGGTTTTCCCTTGAGCGAGGGCAGATCACATACCAATCACGTACCAATCACGGCCCTCGCGTTTCAAACTGTCTGAAATGAATCGCTACATCTGTATGCAACGTTTTAAATGATAGCTCACGAGAAGTTCTTTTATAATTGTTGGCGTATTCTCTCATGAATGTTGAGCAGTTCAGAAACTAGAACATAAAAGTGCTGTTAAGTTTTTGGTTAGGGAGAAAATGATCATTTGTGTTCATTGTTGCGTAACTGAAGTATGTAGCGCTGATTACGAAATGAGTCCTCGGCACATCTTAGGTCAAGGCAAGTATATTTAAATAACACATTTCAACAACAAAGAAAGTCAAAGTTTATTAGAACATAGTGCAAAAGAAACACTTAAAAAAGCAAGAGAAAACCATTTAAATACAGCAAATATATGTAAAAGAGGTACAGGAATAATACGTAGCGGTGCAGTGTAAGATATTAATAGTTAATGGATTTAATAAAATACCTAGTTGCATGTCCAAAAAGGTCATTAGTAACCTTATCTAAGTATCACAATATAAAAGTAATGTATCCTAATGTAATTGTAATCAATGTGAACTTCTTTTTGTAAGCTGATTACGTGTGGTTCAATGTAATCCTGATATAACTCAGTGCTGCAGGTTGTGGTTCAGAGGACCGACCTGCTGCTGCAGCAGGGTCCGGCTCCTCTCGCTCTCCTCCTGGTGGCTGAGCTGCACCCGGTCCCACTCGGCCTTGTAGAAGGCGTGCAGCCTCTGCTCCAGCTCCGACAGGTTCTGCTGGTGCTGATCCTGCAGCTTCTGCAGCGCCTCCTCCAGGGACGCTCGCAACTCATCCCGCTCCTTCTCCAGACGCTCAGACGAGTGCACGGAGCAGACTGGAAACAGAAAAACTTCAACTTGAGTTTTTTTTCTCTTGGTAAAGATAGTAGCTTTTACCTACTATGTAGCGATCTCTAAGGACATCATTCCAGCTATGTCTGTGGTTACACACAAGCCTTTTTCTTTGATGTTTTACCTTTAATCTAACACAGTTCAACAGTGCCCTTGTGTTACTATGGAAACAAGAGTTTTGAGAGTGACGGTTTCTAGGGGTTCTCTGGTTGAGTTTCTAGCTGGTTAATAAATGACACAAGTTCTTTGTCAAAGACAGAAGTTGTTTGTCCCTCTCAGGTCACCAGAGTGAACTGATTTGGTGATTTCATGCAGCTTTGTAGACTGTAATACTCTTTAAAATTGGACAGAGGAAAATGTCTATTAGTAACTGCTTAGGTAAGAAATGTGATCCATCCACTGAGGAACTAGCAAAGTTCTGCCTTGATGTTAATGTGTGACACTAAATGTGCTCCAACAAGGAATGGAAAAAGTGACTTTAGAGGGGAGGGTCCTCTTGCACTTGACTGCATGTGCCAACTACACTGCAGTTATTAAAAGGCAGATGAAGATAAGTCTCTTAATTCCTTCCCACCATCTTGAAATCAGTATCATAAGTGACATACCCGTACACCAGGAGTCTCTTCCTCCCTCTCCAGCTGGCAGAGTGCCATGTCTATGTTTATGCAATAGGTGGCTTTAGCTTTTGTTCTGTAATCCAGTCTCACTATTTCTCAACTGTTTCCATTGCCAAGTGCTTGGGTCTGCACTGGAGTGGGTGGCGGAGACCAACTCCATAACCTCTCTGGTTTAAGAGCTGGTGCCAAAACACAGCCAGCCAATGTTAACTTCCACTCATTAGTGAACTAACACTGATGGAGTACAGTAAGAAGAACAGCTCTCATGTATAGCAGGTTATTTTGGTCTCAAATACATGTGACGATAAACCACATTGAAGTTGAGACTATGCGAGTCTTTAATAGTGGGCGTAATATAATACTGAACCCAGATGTTGCTCTGCTATGCTACAACACGTGTGGCAGGAACATTCAGTGCTCTCACAAATCAGAGCAAAAATAAGGTACATAATAAAAGTCATCTTACAGTGTTGTCCTGTTGTAGAGCACAGAATAATGATTCTGAATAAAGGTGTAATGGTTGTGGTTACCAAAAAGAAGCAGAGGGAACGCCCTTTCTTAGCATTTCAGAAGAAGGAGAATAGGATCAATTAGGAAGACGATAAAGGAGGAATATTTAGAAATAGAACAAGTAGACCATTTATTTATCCCCAAGTTGTTGAAATTCAGTTCAGGATCTATACACATTAGGTCTGAATACATATAAAACATATTTCTGTTATGAAAAGGTATCAGAGCAAACAGGCTGCCAGTTTTTCAGAGGAGGTGATCTGGCACATCTCCAGCTGCCAGTCCACACTCAATCAGTATTTGTTTGGGTCCAATAGGGACTCGAACAGTCCTTTAGTTCCCAAGTCAAGTCTCTACAGAATGAGCTGCCGCCCCTTTAGCACATGATGTTTCCCATTTTAGCTTTACATGCTGTAAAAGTTGTTTATAGTTCAAACTGATCCGAGTTAAGGGTTGCAATAACGTTATTTTGAACAACTTCACAAATAGTTGAAAATCTTGATAAATCATAATTGACATTCTTATTGGATGTATTTACACAGTTCCAGAGTCTGTGTTTCTGAACGGCTAAAACAGAGCTGCAGTTTGAACTCATGCACCTCATGAGCATGAGGATTCACCTCAGTGAGAGTGGAATGAGCGATCCAGGAACAGTGGCCAAGCGAGAGACTATCTATCAGGCTAGGGCTGGCATGTACGGCTCAACAACATGTGCAACAGAGATCTGGTCATACGAGCCTTTTCTAGTCCAAATCCACACAGCAGAAACACCTCATGCCTCATTCTGGGGAGGAGGCCTAGTTCATCTAAAGTTAGCTGCAGTTTGGCCCACAGTCAGGAATGATAAAAGGGGGTGTGGTCCTATCACAAGTTTGGATGTGTTCCAAGACTGTACTGTATCGCTGTGTGAGGAGAGACATCCCTGTGGAAGCACTCTCAAGAGGAAATAAAACTAAAAGCGGACTTATAAATGTGTCTGGATATCTAAGCATCTTTTACTACTCATGAATCAAAGGTTAGTGTAGGAAAGAATGTGTTAAAGCTCAGATATAACAGCGCTCAGCGTATAAGAGCAGTCATGTGGAAGTCCCGAGGCTGTGAGGGGGGGGGGCACAACAATAGGGCTGACCAAAGTATGTGAGTGTGAGAGTGATGAAATGCATGTGCCCGTAAAAATAAGGCTATTCTGTGGGGCAGCTCACAGGCTAGACAGAGAAGACGGGTCATTAGGCCTCAGGTGGTGGGGCATTCCACCACTGGGGGGGGGTCAGAGGTCAGAGTGCCTCTCCCTGGGGAAAGGGCTGACATGGCACTGCTCAGCGACACTTAAAACACACACTCGTGCCGTGACAGATAGGCATGTGATTACTAGTGGAGGAAAAAGCAATTAACAAGTGGAGGAAGAACTACAGGGGGCATCTAGGTGGCGAGTAAGACCCCCCCCCCCTCTTCTACACTGTTTGGAAAAACAAAAAGTGATTATTTTAACTGATATTGGAGTGGTTGTGATCATTTTTCCGTAGTTTTAACATTGAACAATATATATTAACTGATCATTGTTTGACTTTTTTTTGCGGATCTGTCCAAAAACAAATATTTTGTAAAGAGTGTAGAATTACATTTGTACGGTGGGATATCTCTGCAGCTCCACAATACTTCATTAAAATAGTATTGAGCCTTCAACAAATATTTTGCTTCTGGCTATTTGGTTATTACATTAATCCATTTTGTGATTTTTAAGAAATCTTCAATTAATTGTGCAACCCTAGAAACTGCCATATTTCATTTAACATGGGAACATATCTGACATATTGTATTTTTGTATAATTAAATAAAGACTGTCTTGTGCAAAGTGATAAGTAAACATAAGAGTCCTTGGCATCAAATGGCCAATGACTCAGATCTTTAACTACATTACACACCGCAATCAAATATTGGAACCAAGTAAACAACCAAAGACTCATGATGAACAACAATTGTTCCTCATCCTCTAAAGTTAAACAAACGAGTGCTTCCTGACTTGTCATCCTAACTGAATAATATAAAAGGACACTCTTATCAGAAGGGAGAACTACAAGCAGAGCAGGAGTGTGTGCTTTACTGATAACAACTTTAAACACAGCCGGTGTGTGTGACCAAGGTGACCTCACTTACCCAGCTCTCCTTGAAGGGTGACCAGCTCCTGGGAGGGATCCCTGCACTGCCGTGTGGCTTCATCACGCTGCGGGGGGGGAAAAAAACAGTCATGCTCATGATCATGCAGGTTTCTGACATAAATCATCACAGTTAAGATCACAATGCCAGCATAATGACTCTGTAAGGTTCCTATATGAAGGAATGTCCTGACAGGGCAACTCCCGACACAGATTCTCCTTCCAGGACATCGTTTGAATACCAAATGCAAATAAATTACAAGCACCGGAGCAACAAGGGAGGGGGATTATGGAAACTAGACATTCAACTCGTGTTTTCAATCGGAGCACATGCCTGCTGTCAGCTTTCACTTCTCTCATTCTGACTCAGGTTTGCAGTAAAGAGGAGGCTGCGCTGAAACTGCAGTGCTCCTCAAGACTCCAAACTGACGCATCCAAACCCAAAAACTGTAAATACGACTCTCCGCTGATTAATTAAGAGCATGACACCAACTGTCATACAGCCTGCATAATTAAATCATGAACCAGAGAGGAAATAGAAAGAAAGACAAGCCCAACATGTCTTCACTGATTAGTTTAAAACAGAAACAAACAGTATTCCTCTCCGTCCTGTTAAAGCTCATATTCCTCACTGCAGATAGAACAATGTAGAAGCCAGTTACCCTCTCTGCAGCGTATGGGGCACTAAGGCACGCTCTGCTGCCAGAACAGCCCATGATCCAGCGTCAGCCTGAGGATCGGTAGCGGGAGTCCCCCCCCCCCCCCCCCAGCTACAGAGACCCAGTACTCCAGGACAAACGGCGGTCCAGGTGGACACACCACCTCCACACGCCTCCTCCCAGACTGCTCTGACTACATCCGAGGCAGCACTGAGAAAGCCGCTGGCTGTGGAGAGTGACTGCAGAGTGCATTACCGTAGTACACCTAAAAAACCCACAAAGGGGGCAGGCCACAGTGTGCAGAGGACAGCCTCCTCCCGGCGAGGTGGGGTCACTTTAAGGCAGCAGGAGTGGAGCAAACATACATTGTGCAGAGCTGCCTGACATTAGGCTGATGGAGCAGGGCTTGTGCACTGACCTCCCCCAGGGGATACATGGTGAGGCTTTATTACCACCATCCTCCCCCACTACTCATCCAAACCCACATCCAATCACCCCTCACCCCTCTGCATCACCACCTTACGATAAGCTCTGCAGCTACAGGATCCATGAGCACTATTTCTCCATTGCAAGATGATATCATGCTGACAGATCACATGTTACTCTACTCTGATATGAATGTAACTGTTTTATTGTTTTAAACCAAAGATAACATTTATGTCCTGGGACAGTTAGGGTTAGTTTAGTTATTTTATTATAATCGTTCTGTATAATACATATACTCTCTACAGTTAGACATGTTTGTAAGATATATTTTGAATATGTTTCGTCTTGTGTGTAGTAGTCTATTCTCAAGCTTGGGATAGCTTTTCAGTGCGTGTTTGTAAATATAATTCATTACCTTAGTTTCTGTGTGAAAGTATAGAATGAAAGAATACTGTAATTTTCTGAATAACCACCTTAGTTATCATGCATCCGACTTCATTAGGAAGAGCACATGTTAACCATCTTATAACTCAGCCTATGGGACATCTATCCAGGAGCAAAGAGGAGACATGTCCCCGGTGTATATCAATATGATACCATGTCAGGTGTAGAATAACACTTGATGGTAGACGGAGATCAATGTCTAATTGCCTCTGATCAAGTTACAAGTTCCTAGAAATATTGTGAATTTCAAGAGAGGTAAAGTGAGATTGTACATTTGGGAATGTGCTTGCATTCCTCCGCTGAAGAGCAACGTGTTTCACAGCTTTTGCTCTTTGAGAGAAGGTATGTCTAACCAGGTCCAGAGCTCACACACTGCATCCAAACACATGATAAGAAACAGAGCTCTGCCCTTGGTGAGCGTTTGGCTGCTGTTCATCGTAACCATATCAAGTCAACAGCTGGGACATTCTCACACTATGTTGAGGAGCTGCTGCCTCCTATTCTTGGGCTGATGAGTGACCACCAGATTCCATTACACACTGCGCGCACACAATACTTGGGTATTACCACACGTGAAACACGGTTACTCTTGTGTGCCGAGTTGATGGCTTGAAATCAAAAATGCAAGTTATGTGTGTTTTATAGGCTGAATATATGAATTGGAATCATTGGTTCCAGTGGAGGACATACTGCGGTGGAAGTTGAGTCAGCCGCTCTCAATGACAGAGGAACAAACATGTTGTGTTTTTAATATGTGTTGATGTAATCAGTTTCGCAACCCTGCCCCCCTAACATGGGAAATGAGTCAAACAACCACCAGCTGTCACATGACATGAATCAGACTCATACATTTAAAAAAATTGCACATATGCATCAGTCAATACCATCCACACCATTCTCAAAAAATAAGTTACTACTGGCTTTCTGGTGCCTGGAATGTTGTTGGCGGACCGTGGTTGATGGTGTTGAAGGTTCCTAAACATCTAAGGAGCAAATGTCAAAATATCTTTGACACTTGACTGCATTATCAGGATAGCTTTATATTTTGGGGCGGTGCAACTGGCAGCAGAAGACACCACAGAACTCATTGAAGCCATCTGAAGCTAAAATTGGACTGACTGTGTCACTATCCAGAGCACTGCCACAAGGGATGTGTCTGGTGTCAAACTCTGAAGTAAAACAGCTGCTGTAATGTAGGCCAAAGGAAACTAATTCATGGGTTATTTTCTATATTTTGACTTAAAGGAGCAGTGGTTTACTTTTGAAGCGCACAACCATGTTTATACATTTGGTAAATCTCATTGATTGTCATCCCCTTGTTTTTTGACCACATGTTTCATGTTTGAAGCTAAGCTTATCAGTCGTTTCCTTTCCTCCGGTGTCCTTATGATCCTTGGTAATAAATCACAAGGACAGGCATTGCTAGCAAACAACCGCGTTTCACTTCGCAGCAGCAAGAACCCAGAAGGAGTCCCTACAGCAGCGACACGTATTTGATCCCTGACCCAAAAACAATGCCAATGTGCAGGTGTGATGGCCCTTTCTGCTAAGCTAGGTGCACCACACCACAGATGCAGTAGGGTTGGAAACAGGGTCCTCCCTTTCCTCTGCCCCTCCCCCTAAAGCTATCGTTTCTGCAGTTCAGGGATGCTAAAGTGAAATAAGATTTATGGGTTCAAGCAGGTTGATTTTACAGCCTAATGTCTGGCATGTTATGGATTTGGCCTCCACTCCCTGTGCTGATGACTCAGAGGGGGAGCAACATGTCAGACAAGGTCCAGTGGAATGCAAAGGAACGAGTGCAAGTTCCCAGCGGCCTCTAGAGGGAAGTCCTGGCAGGTCTGATGGCTGCCCCTTGTGTAAGTGTTTGTCCATTTGTCAACTTTAAATGTTTTTATTTAGTCTTATTGCTATGCAAAATGTCTTTGTTAGTTTGTATCATATCAACAGCAAAGGAAATAGAATTTCTGCATTGAAAACAAGTCTTAAATAAATGTTCTCCCCTCTTGTCAACTAAATATTTACTGAAAGCTGTACCTTAGTGCAGGTTTTTCCAACCTTTTGTGTTATTATATATATATATATATATATATATATATATATATATATATTTAGTGATAATAGTTGGGATGTTAGAGGGGGAATTTCACTGACATAATCTTTTTTAGATAGAAATCGATATTGGTTGGTTTACCAAGTGTTTCTTTAATAATCTATGCACATCTCAGTGTGCTGATGAAATGCTTCCTCTCTAACAATAGGCAATGCAACAGGCATTATGAGCCAGGGGATAATGAAGAGTGGAGGAAGAGATCAAATCCTACATATAAGACCTCATACTATCAATCATTTTTAGAAACAAACAGCAATTTACCACAGTACCTAGTGTTTGTTATACATAGAAAACAAGGTTTTATGGTTTCTTACTTATATACATTTCTGAATTCAGAACATACTTTTTCTCGAGCCAAAATGACTAAAATGTAACAAATTGAAACGAAGGCGTTACTTGTTAAGACACTTCTCAACACTAACATTACTGTGTTTATGATATCTGGATGAGTGGTGTACTACAATAAAGTAAAGACAAGGCCCTAGTGTTAGGGCCACTTAATATCATCTTATGTCCTCATTCATATTTGGTTGGTACATTCCAGTTGTTCCATCAACACATGTGGTGTGAAAAGATTTGACAAGGGCCTTTCTGAAGTTAACTGGGAGACTGAAATAGCTGGTGGCCTTTCATGTGCTCACAGGGTATCTGTTTTATTCTTCTAGGTTTACAGGAAAAGAAAGATAGAGATCTTTTCCGACTGCATGGGGTCATTTTAATTCAATTCTATAATGCACTTGTATTAGCTGATTAAATAAACCTAATAGCAAGCAGCAAATTGTATTTTTGCTTGGAGTACAACTCAATGAGGGAGTATGGCGGTATGGTTGGCTGATAGGATAAGCCTGTTTGTGCTGTGTGAAAAGATTAATCCCTTGGGGCATCTCGTTCCTGGAAGCCAATCACATGGCACCACTATTAAAACCGATCCAAAACAAACAGCAAGTTCAAACATCCATATTTTTAAAGGGCTCTCATGCGAACTGAATAACTTTCAAATGTATGAAACATACAACTGAGCTTCAAGTTCATCTTCCCAAGAACTAATCATGCTGCAATAAAGATGAATGATTAAATCCAGGATTGCTTCAGTTGCTCTGTGCATTACAGCAACAGGGCTGTTTTGTGTTGGACAGCCTTCAAGTACCGTAATTTTCGGACTATAAACCGCGCCTTTTTTCCCATTTTTCGACGCTGCGGCTTATATAACGGTGCGGCTAATCTATGGATTTCTACAGCTAACGGCCACCACCTTTAACTCTATGGGCTCTATGGCCGGTCCGCGGACCCCCAACTTTAAGCGGCGGGTTCCAGCAGGAAAAGCTGGAGGCCGGAAAAGAGTGAGACAGGTAGCGCGCAAAAGTAAAAGTGGAACCGAGAGTGGTACGAGAGACAGAACGAGAGCAAGACAGACAGACATTACGAGAGCGAGACAGTTTGTCCCCGTACCACTGGTTGAAAACCACTGCTGTAGATCACTGCCGGTACGTGCGCTGGGAGCGCACCGTTTAAGTTTGAAAGTTGAAAAGTTTGTGTGTCTGAAGCACTATGTGATACAGTACAGTTTACACAGCACAGTACATGTTCTGTAGCTACTATTGCACTAAATGGTGACACTTGAATACGTTATGCAAATATGCAACTTGTTTGTTGAAATGTTAATAAAATGGGAGCTTCCTCAAACAGCCATCTCTTTCCCGACAATCCCCTCTGAGCACGAACCCTTACATATGGTAATTAAACATTAAAACACCTGCGGCTTATAGTCCAGTGCGGCTTATATATGTACACATCATTCAATTTAGCTGCTGCGGCTTTTATTCAGGTGCGCCTTATAGTCCGAAAATTACGGTATGTCTATGACTGCAGCCCTCCGTACCCTTACAGTCACCCTCGTGCTGTTTCTGGAAATAGAAATGCCATTTGGCTTGCCTCGTATCAACACACAGGACATGATGTTGCAACACTTGTAGTTATGTCATTAAGATCATTTCAGACTTACCCCCGTACATTCAGGCTATGTTGGTATTTTGCTAGCATTTGACAAGGTTTTAATCCGTATGTTAAAGCTTAGACTTAGTACTTGCAATTCTGTATACATATTTGATGGACATAAACAGTAGGATTCCTCAACGAGAGCTGTCTGCTTTATATATATTGAATATTCCTTTTTAAACCAGGCAACCTAGTGTGATAACATTAACCAATCTAATCTTAGATATATTAGAATTAGAATATTAGAGTAGAAATGTACAACAACAATCAAAAACTGAACATGGCCAGCAATTTCCAGAATTATCATCTTATCAAGAATGCACTGATAGCAAATAAAGTATATATCTCTCTACCTATTAATCCATGTATCTAACATAATAAGATTTTATTTAAATATTCTCTATACATGTCCAAAAAAAGGTCAGTGACAGACTACCCATTGTGGTAATTGTGCAATATGCTTCATTATGTCTTCTCTTTGTACACATTAAATCATTTGCCGGGACAAATCATTTGAAGAGTCCAATATAACATAAAAAAAAATGCTATTTCATAAATAAAAAAGATTCCTACCTCAGCTAAAGCTTGCTGCAAGACTATTGCGACGGCCTCAAATCTTCGGTTACTCGCTGCCAGGAGTCCTCTGAGCTGCTGGACGTTCTGGTCCTTCCTCCCCCCCTCAGCCACACTCGCTGGCACTACATCCAGGGGTCCGCTGCGCTGGCTCTGCTGAGACGTCGGCTGCTGAGGGTGGTGCTGGCGGGAGGCGGCCTTCGGTTTGTTCTTGTCCACTGTGAAAGAACGTGTGTTGAGTGTTGTGACAACGTAGATCAACATCATACCCCACTGCAAAACCGGTAAGCTGCTCTGACAGCAGCACCCCCCCCCCCCAAAACCTTATTTACTCCTGTGAGGAGATAAGGTTTATAATTTTTAATAAGAGAGCCTGAGGATTCTCAGAGCTGCTCCTCCGAAACAACACATCTTCGATGCAATTAGTTTTCCATATCCCAATTCAATCTAGTGATGCAGATACTGGCCCCCAAGGACAAACTGTTTTAGCAACACCCTGCTAATGTAGCTTTGGTCAGCTTTATAAATACCTTAACCCCATACAACAGCTTCCATCAATAGTTTGTTTTCTCAGACACAAAACAGCAACTTCCAAACATAACATTTACAAACTGAGTACTGAGGACACGAGGGAAGAAAATAACTTATCCTTGATATTAGACATCTGTTTCTTGTGTTAGTTTGTGAGGAGACTGCAGCGAGCGTTATGTAACACAGCAGTGAGAAAAGCCTGGGTCATATGGGGAACACCAGTGAGTGGAATATATCGTACCACCAGAGGCCCGTGGCATTACTCACTCCGCTCTGTCTGTCTGTCTTTTATGTAAGAGCTATTAGTGCCAATAAAGATGAATACGCAAAAACACACATATTTACATAATCTGATGTCAAACTGGAAAATTAAAACCATACTAGATCTCTTTTTAAAACATAGTGGTTGAATACAGCACAGTGTTCTCCTCTATTATACAACCCATGCTCATGAAGCTTTTATATTCATGTCCTTTATGAAGCACATTCAAGTTGAATTTAGATTGCACTAGGCAGGGTGTCATTTCATCCCAGAAGGACCCTTACGGCCCGTCCACACACAGGCATGAAAAAAATCTTGAAAAATCTTGATGCTGGGCGTGTCTGAAGCTTAGCGATTTTTTGCGAGCAACGCGACCAACAACCAATCACATGAATCTCCCGCCCCCGACATACAAAGCAATAGCAATGTTAAAACGAAGTAAACTGGATATAAACTCTCCAAACAGGCGAAACACCTACCAGTTTCACCCACTGTCTCTGCCACCTCCCTCCATGCCTGGTTCCTCCGGTTTGTATCCCGGTAAATAGTTCTGGTCGTAAAGAACCGGGTGATTTGCTACCGTAATTTCTCGTTTGGAATATGAGGAAATGAAGTGCGGTCTGGCTCTCCCAGCTTGCACGCGGTTTGATTGGCTAGCGCTTGAATTGTCAGATTTGCATAAACGGGATTTGATTGGCTGACGCTGGCTACTCCGGCGTCTCCGGCTGAGACGGACCGCTATGCTACCCACAATTCAGTTCGGCGAAAAGCGAGGCAACGTGACGTCACCCCATTCAAAGTGAATGGGCAGACGCGTTGGAAACCGTTTTTGAAGCTGTCGAAGCTGTAGTGTGGACGGGCCGTTAGAGAACAGAACAGCTCACAGAGAAGAGATAACATCTGATCCTTTTGCAACGAACACTATATGATCTTTGTAGGTTTCAGTAATCCTGTTAGTAATCCACAATATTTTAGACAAGTAACAGTTATCTCATTGCGTATTATTTTTAATGTAACTACGGAAATACTGTAGCCTTCATTTTGCACCCTGTTTACGTACTGTAACCAGGGGCGCCACCAGGGATTTTGGGCCCCATGAAAATACAGTATATCACATTGGTTACGCAAAGATTTTTTTCTTAATGTTCTAAAATTGTTTGGGCCCCTGTCAGTCACGGGCCCTTAGAATCGTCCTAACTTTTCACCCCCTTATGGCGCCCCTGACTGTAACCCTGTTACATGTAATCTTTTATATATATATATAAAAAATGTAAGCGCTTTGAGCACCAGGAAAAGCGCTTTATAAATGTAATGTATTATTATTATATATTGGGAGGGATGAAACCCTCTTTAATGGTCACACATGCTCAGCACACACTGCATTGTCTTGTTCATGTTTCTTATGCTGGTGTTATGTATTGTGTATCTGGTGTGTTTGTACGGCGACCTTGAGAGCCTTGAAAGGCGCCTATAAAAAATAAATGAATTATTATTATTATTATTTTCACAGTGACGTGTGTTCTCTGCTTTTAACCCATCCCAGTACCAGGAGTCTAGTAGACTATTGCTCTCTAAGACTGCATGTAATCTTAACTGGCTGCATTTGTTGCATAGCTCCATCGCAACCATGACGCCAGAGGCGGATGTGATTTGGGTGAAAAAATATAAAACTTTGAGGAGCTTTCAAGACATCAGTTTCCTCCTATTGGAGCGATGGGTCTTGAAAAAAGTGCTCCTGTCTCTTTCTATATATAAATATATATACTTCCAGTTCTCAGACTCTGCCTCTGAGCCCTGTGGGTGTCTGGTGAAACAGATAGCTGGAATAACTTGACCCCGCGAGGAACAACCGTCTAGCATCTTGTGTTTTCAGGTTTCATATTTCAGCGAGTCGCCGTCTGTCTTCCTGTTCTCTTCTTCTGCTTCAGACCTCCTCCTCACTGCCCTCAGCGACGCCTCGCACCGTGGAGCTGTAATCACAGAACTTCTCCAGGCCGTGTGATCCGGAGCTGAAATGTGATTTATGGATAGAAATAGAAAATGTGACAGTGTCGTATGCTGAGCTGTGAACAATATCTGAAATAATGAACTCTCCCAACTCCTCCGCTAGTGTCTGCAAGGCGGCCATTCAGAGCAATGTCAGCGACAAGAGAGAAACATCTGTCCACACACAGACCCAAACTTAACTGGTAAATCACGCGCTTTAAACACTGAGGCTCATGCAGCGTTAATTGTATGAGGTAACGTTTATTATATCAGGTGTACAAAGAAAAAGGCACTAACATAATTTTCAAATAATTAGTCTCTGGTGTACCGCAACAGAGACATATATTCAAACTATTGGAGGCCTCTCACACACATCAATGATGCCCTTTCCTGTGTGGCTTTACTGAACAAAGAAACTGGCTGTAATATATTCCACCTTTTAATCAGCATTTTCTCTCTGGATGCCCCGGAAGTTAAAACCGCTGAACCCTCATCTAAATACATTTACAACATTTTAGTCAACTCAGATTCAGGTAGATTGATGCTTGGCACATATATATAAAACATATATATATATAAAACAATTAAGAATCTAAAGTGTTTGTTTCTTTGTCTTTAAGTGTTTATGTGTGTCACATGTTGCAGTTTGATTGCACACTGCAGGGAAACAAGAGATGTGCTGCTTCAGATCACTGCAGTCAGTTCTGCCTCAATCACTTCCTCTGAGTTGTTGCAATACTAGCAATCACACACACACACANGATTGGCTGATGCCAGCTTCGAAAGCATCGGGAGCATCAAAAGTTGAACATTGCTCAACTTTTGATGCTCACGATGCTTGCAAAGCCATGCTCCGCTCCCCACAATGCAGTTTGGCGAAGATTAAAAATCTTCTACGTCACCCCATTCAAGTGAATGGGCGAAGCTTTGAAAGATTTTTTTCATGCCTGTGTGTGGACGGGCCGTTGAGAAAGAACTCCAACAATGCCGTTTACATAAGAAAATAATAATGTGTGTATTAGGCCTGTAAGTCAGATCTGCAGCACCATTTGACAGATTCTTCCTTGGCCCACGCTTCACCAATGTTCATGAAAATCAGGCGAGTTGATTTGTATGTAATCCTTCTGACAAGCAAGCAAACCAAACTCAGAGGCTTGGCTGTGGTAATAAAACTAGCATGTACAGTCATTGTGGGATATCTAAGCAAAGTCATGCTGTATTTACTTGGATACCTTTCTAAATAACACCCTGCAGTTTCTATTGACAGAGAAGGTATTTATTCTAACCAGAGGAAGTATGTTCCCTTCCTTCAGCTGATCCAGGAGCAGGGGTGACATAATACTGCAGAGGGAATAACACTCCAAGCTGGCAATACCCACAGAGGGAAAACTGATGTAATGAACTGAGAGGGTAAACACACTCAAGCTGTAGATTTACCGAAGCAAAACAAAAACCTTCTACTCGAGCACAAAATGGTTAAAAGTCATTTGAATGAGTTGCATGCCAGTCTTAAGTTGACACAGCTCCGTATCAGGATGTGCGGTTCCCCTCAAAACTAGTTTCTCCCTGTGTCTCTCAGCCAAAGTAAACAGTTCAGCATAAAACACAGCGCCGCCTTTAAGTCAAACAAAAGACACACACCTTAGTATATAACTTAAGTGAATTTGCAAATGTTGTTGCCTCTTTAATTTGGTGAGCAGTTTGAAATGAATGTTACTAATGTGTGTGGGGTACAGGACACAAATGTGAAACAGATTTCCATCTCAATGTCCTGACTACATCCTCCTCTTATTGTGATTCATACACTCATTTGAACTCCACTTTCTTTTCCTCCTATATAGTTCATCAGTACAGAGTGATAAACGTCAAAGTAGAAAGTCTCTGACACAGATCCAAACTCACAGTGGATCTGTGTTGCTCAGCTTTCAATCGTTTTGAAGAGGCTGCAGTTCACTAAATCTTAAAAAGGTTTTTTAAAATGAGGACGCCCTCTGCTGGCTGTGCAGAGAGCGTAAGGGGACGCCATGTCCAGCTGCATCACAGCCAGCATGCACCACTAACATGCCTGCATACAGAATGAAGCCAAGCTCAAAGACTCAGGCTGTCAAACTACTGCACATTGACACATTAAACTACATTTGTCAACAGATATATTGTGAAGATAAGTAGTTGTTAGTAAGTAGAACTAAAATATCTTATTCCCCTGTAATGTAGTGGTATGCAATTAGGGCTGCACGGTATGATGATAATACATGAGTTATACACGGGTAACTTAGGTTGTGTTTTGTTTGTAGCATATCCAGGAATATCAAAGTGGAACATAATATTATTAACACATATGCAACAGTGTTTTGAATTTCAAGAGAACTATGATGTTAGAGTATGAGAAAATGCTGTTGAAAGAAAATAAACTGATTTCAAAGTTTACTCTTTCTTGTCGGCTGCTCTAAGAATGCTGATAAAAAATAAAAGTATGCTAAAAGAAATTTTTTGTTGTATAAAAAAAATTAAGGAAATGATTAACAATACTCTTTTACAGAATAAATTCAACATTGCACTGAGCAAAAGAGGCACCAAAAACCGTTGAATTTTAAAAAGTAGATTCCTAATGATACTCTTCTTGAACTAAGTGCCAATAAAACAAATCTGAGTGCAATATCGCAGTCTTTCAACATCAACATGTGAACAAAAAAAACGATATATAATGCAGCCCTGCATGTAATGATTTATATGTAATAATTAATGTAATGTCTTTTCATAAATCTTGTTCTTTTGAACTTGTAGCAAAATGTAACTAAGCTTATGTCTATATATAGAGGAACTGGCAAAGAAATCTTCACACGTATGTTTTTTGCCTGCAAGCTGTCATCTTCTGCTCGTTTCCAGAAGACTAGAACTGGACATTATGCAACACATTTCTGCTGAATCTAAAAAAAAAAAAATGATCTCACCTTGTTAAATAATTCAAAATGGTCTAAAGATGTGGTCGGTTCAGAGATGTATCTTGTAGACAGAGAATATGGAAATTCACTGGTTTCCAGGGCTACAAACTACAATCCTGTACATGTTTTAATCAGACAATCTTTTGAGAGCTGCCCAGTATTATTTAATTAAATAATCACTTGTCAGAACATTTTCATTGGCCACATATAGGAGTTCATTATCTGCCTTTATTATCTAATAGAACTGTGCAATTTCATTTGAGTTAGACGTTATATAAGCATGCAGGCCTTCTCTCCCTTTGACCGCTCTTCCATGGCAACAGAGGACCTGCAGCTATTTTCATCAAAGTGTCTGAACACAGCGATGATGACACATGTTGCCTTCTTCATTTCCCTCCTCCCATGCACAAAGATGCATTTAATGTAACAATTCAACATCACTGTACACTTCCCATCAAATACTGAGTGACTTAGTAACTCCGTAGCAGAGTGCTGTGCCGCTATAAGGGGATATCACACCATAGCACAAAGCATGATGCGTGATGAGACCCTTCACAATCAAGCACTTGTTTTAGTGCTTTTGTTGACACAATACCAATAACGGTTACACACTGGACACTTGTATTGCTTTGTTTGAATAAGATATAATTCCATTTTGTATTTAAAACCTTTTGAGACCCTAAAACAGGATTACCATATAAGGTCATAACCTTTCAAAACAAATAGGAGAATGGTTTGCATTATGTGGAAACCACAGGAAGCGTCTGCCTTCCCACAATCCCGTTCAACAATCAAAACAAGGTTCCTGTAGCTTGACCGAGAAACCAAGAACCAAAATAAACTTGGTTCATCTCAGAGTGAAACAGGAGCACAGGGTGTCACTGTGAGCAAGTGCATTCTGACAGTCATAAAAAGGTGGCCTCAAACATAATACAACTGTGTTTAAATGTCAATATGGCATTAAAGGAGACCAATCTGATGTTTAGTTTGAATGCAATTATTCCTGAAATCAAGATTCATATGGTTCCATATCGTACAATACCTATGCTCAGGCTTACATCTTTTGGTGAGCAAGGTGGGTAAATGAAAGATGAACCTCCTGCTTTGCCAACTAGTAAATACTAGCCAGACTAAAAATAGATTTCAGGTCCACTTGAGAGGCAAACACTGGTAGGCTAGGCTTAAATACTACAGAAGAGAGAGCAAAACCCATAATAACTTGGGTAGAAATATTCAATATAAAATAAGTGACAAACCTGCTTTGAAAACCACCGTGTTCTTCCTGCATCCTGACAGCAGCTGAAGGCTTCGGAGTAAACCCTTGGCTGTCAGACGCACGTGGATGTTGGACAGGGAGAGCTTCGGAGACCACAACATCTCTCAAAAATAAAGCAGGGTGTTTTTATCCCGAAAAACAATGGAGTTTCTTAACTAAGAAGCTTGAGGCTGGCTATGAACCAAATGCCATGGTGTGCCTTAGTGTATCATGAGTTAAATGATAGCAGGACTGACAGGCAAACAATAAATTCATCAATAAAAAGCAGTAGTGAGAGCTACTCCGCTGAGACGGCCTTGAGAAAAGTGAAGGCACCCAGTTCAGCATGGCAGGTCTCCCGAATTTAAATCTAAATCCAGCTGTGAAGGCTGGCCAGCGGTGTGTGGCACAGGCTGATAGATGTGATCAGGGCAGGGGGATCAAATCAAATCCTTTAATCCTCTTGGTAAAGTCAGGCTTCATCTATTCACCAAACACACAAATCTCTCTCAGCAGAGCAAAACAGCATTTCCAAGCTCAATGATGGCGGTGCTGTGGCAGAGCCAGGATGCTCGGAAGAGAGCAGAGGGGGTTGGGCGGGAGGAGCTGACGGCAGCAGTGCAGCCAATGGGAATTTAATCCAGCCCCCCACTCTCATTTACCGTGTCCCTGTGTCCCCAGCAGTGGGATGGGAAAGGATAACAGACTTATCGTGGCACAGTTTTGTCTGGTGAGCTGCTTAGCTGGCACTGTGAAAATGTGTCTGCAGGCATGACTGGAAATCAGTTTTTTAATCCAAGAGTCAAAACAACGTGCCGACTAATTGAGTGTTATGTAATGCAGCATGTTTATCATCTAGTTTCCGCAAAACTGTGCACTCAAGGGGGCTGTAATGACACTTTAGAGCACTGTAGAAAATATGCATCACATTAACTGTGAGCAGAAGAGAGCAACACACCCAATAAAGCACACATTACAACTGTAGTGTGACAGGAAACACATGTGGTCACTGATAAACATCAGAACTTGAATGTTCTGGTCAAAAAGTAAGCACAAACCATTGGATGGTTTCACAAAAATAGACTTTGACTGCAGCCTAGATCAAACTAATTGTCAGACCCTAGATAGAGTGTCTAATTTAATATGTTGATTATTACTAATTTACCAAGAAATTAAGACTTCATCAAACTACAAAACATGACTGTCCAGACGATTGTATCAAACTGCTCGCCATGTTCGAAACACTATTTGTATTTCTTGGATGAATGTTGTTGGCAGTGAATGGAGTCTGAGAGAGTCTGTAGACATTACTCTGGGCTTTAACAAAAAGGGCTTTTACCAACACAGAATGTTTTCTTCAGGTAAAAACAATTAAAGAAAATAAATGTATTAATATACAATTTTATATTTTTAAATAGGTGCTAAATAAATGATAAGGCAGTAGAGGACACTGCTCTTTGAACAAATAATGACCTTTAAAACAGGCGAACAGAGTTGGCACATTCGCAATACAGAGGTTTAAATTGCATTGTTATTCTTAATGCTTATATTAGAAAGCGAAATGACCAGTATCTCCTGAATTAAAACCTTTGACAAGTCATCTCAATGGAAAGGTAAGAACACAGATAATACACATGTTCAATCCAATGGAAACAACTCTTACCGGGTCCGTTTGGACGAACAAGTCTTTCAGAAGCTGTCCTTTTTAGAGGACTGACTGTAGAATTTGAAGCGCCTCTGATGGAGAAAGCAGAGGCAGGTTTGCATGCTGCGGTCAGAGCTGAAACAAGCAGAAGATCCAGGTGAGACACGCAGCTGGAGTTAAACTGACCCATGGTGGCGGATCAGCTGACATCTGACCGCAAACCAGAGGCAGCTTTTAAACTAGAACTATTTAATGAGGATTGATCAAACAGGCGGTTTAACTAAAAAACAAAGATACCACTACTATTTGATGTTAATGGAAAATAAATTCAATCAACATCAAATGTCCCTCGGCAAACATGATGAGCACACAATAACAACATCATTAGGGAGGAACAGTAGCTTTTTGTAGTTGAATGTTTGAGTTTCATCACAAGTCAGACTTTACAGGTCTGTTTTCTTATCAAGTGAGAGGATTTGCCAGTGTTTAAAGTTCAATGGGGTCAGACTCACATTTACTCTTGAAATAAGATTTCAGAAAGGTAGAGCTAATTCTGATTCAAATGTAAGATCAATGGCTGGGATATATATTGACATATCAATATCGTGATACAAGACTAGTTATTCTCTTAGATTTTAGAATCCATAATATCCTAGTATTATATATATATATATATTATTGCTGTTTCCTGATTTTAAAGGCTGCATTACAGTCAAGTTATATCATATTTTGAACTCACCAGGCTTGTTGCCTTTCCATTATTTGCCTTTACTCACTAAATCCACATTACCGGTTGTTATTTTTCAAAATTCTCATTGTGTAAATGTTCTTCATTAATGAATCACCCTTTGATGAGAGACAACTAAAATAATAAAATAGAGACATTTCCAATATCTCTAAAAAAAAGTGTCTACGTATGAAGTACGAACTAAATGTGTGAGAATATGATGTGATGGTTTTATAGCATCCAATGGCTAGATATTCATTTATTTATGTTAAATTACCATGTTCAATTGAAAAGAATAAAGCAATTTCTTTATATTCTATAAAAGTCCATTGAAATGCAATGTCAATCTACTTGCAATAATACTAATGTCATGTAAAAGTAGAATCATATAATGATCATTTCTCAAGACATGGGAAAAAAAGAGACATGATTGTAAAGGAGAAGTCTGTCTGATAGTAAATGCTGAGTGTGCATGCGTTCTCACGTGGTCCAGTGTTCTTCCCAGGAGTTGTGAAGAGTCTAGCCTTCAGCACAGTTTTCAAAGGGGATGGTTTAGGTGCAGCTCCTCCAGAAACTGTTACAGAACAAGTACAGAGATGCTGATTCAATAAAGTAGTAATAAAGAATTTTTGTAAAATGATTTGTAGAAGAAAAAAACAGACCATTTCTGGTATAACCGTAAAGTTTCTTTGAGCACCTGTAAAATTGCTTGATAAATTAAATGTATTTATGATTATTTAAAGGTCCCATGTCATGCTTTTCTGGATATTACCTTTAATATAATCTTCAGGGTAAAAAACAATTGATCAGATTAAAAACAGGTGTAATTTGAATCTGACCGTTATAAACTATGACAATGAATCAATATCTAGAATGCAAAAATTAATATGTACATCCTCCGTGATGGACTGAGTGAAATACCCAGAAGATCTTTCAACTCATCACTTCACCCTGGATAAAGCAATTATGATCCAACTCCCACTTACTTCTCCAAAGCTTTCTATGTTGTCCATGCAACGCAGCTAACAAAGGGAGGATACAGAAATGATAGGATCCAACAAGAAGGCATGTCAACAGAGTGACATCACAGTTGGATGCTGCGCTGCCCTTCAGAATTAAAGAGGAACCGTTGAAAGAATGAACTGTAAATTCAGTCCAAGTGCAGCTTCGAAGTCCTGTGTATCCGGCCATCGGCTTTTAATTGAAGAATAGAAAATAATAAGGAAACTGCTCTTTTTCTGCACCTCAGACAACATCAGTTGTGCCTACGTACTCTCCTCCAGGCAACGCTGTGTGTGTGAACTAGAGTGGAATAGAACCCGTTCCCATAACAACCACACAAGGGGGGTCCCCAGTTTGGAAAATAGGCCCTCTCAGCCAATCAGAGACCTGTATGGTGTTGAAGATGCTGCGAGGAAAAGAGCCCTCTGTTCCTTTTTGTATAATACTCTAATAAAATGTAAAAAACACAACACACCAGCACCACTCAGAGCTCAGCACTGGAATGATCTTAGCGTTGTATACCGATTGTTGATAGCTTTGAAAGAAGTCATAATTTCTCTCCCTCCTTCTCAAATATTTGTTCTCTACTTTATTGACATTAATGGGAGAATGTTCATTTCACGTCACAGGTATTAGATGAGGTAGATAAGTGTCCAAACAATGTCAAAATATGGAAATGTATTCATAAGTGTGTGTCTTATTTTTCATAATGTTTGTTTGTAAGGACAATTTGATATTCCTCTTTTTTATAGAGCCTAAAATAAAGACAACTAAAAAAGACATCACAATATTATAAAGATGTATGTTAGCAGATGTGGGGGTATTTAATCTGAGACAGATTTGCCCTGGTGAGGTTTACATCCAAGCCTAGCCCTCAAGTGGGTCACCATTTAACAAAGAGGCCCCCCCCCACCTTTTGGTCCAGATGTTTTCAGAAAACACGCTTTGACATAGTGGCCTGATGCTGGAGAACTCCTGCATGAAACAGATTTGATATCATTGTGCTTTTGTTCCTAAAAGCTCTGTAAGAGATGGTTTGGCTTACCGTGTGTACTCCCTTCACTCGGCTCAGTGAGGCTCCAGGACGGCCCCAGGGTCTTGCGTGGTAGTCTAGAAGAAGGCACTGGGGGAGGGCCCATGAGAGAGGGTCGAGAGGAAGTTTGAGGAAGTCGAAATCCATTCAGTTGAGGCTTGATGCTTGATGTTGACACATTTCCATGGGTTGACTCTTCTGTCTGCACTCTCTGACTGCCTGTGTTCAATGGAGCACAAATAAATATCAGAGGTGAGCAGCATGAACACCGTTATCAAAGGATAAACAAGCATACTGGGTTGTGTCATGAGTAAAAAGCTGGAAGTTAAAACATCCACAGAGCTCCCAGACAGGTCAAATCAGCCATAATAAACCAGCCAATATTTGATTTAACAGGTAATATTGAGTCCTTTTCATGGGATATTTGTCCATCAGAAAAACTAGTAAAAAGCATATCTATAAAGCTAAGAAAACAATGTGTATATTATTAATGAAACAAATAAACAGGATCCCCAACACCTTACCCCATTTGTTAATTATAACTTTCAATATCAAATTGTACACAACTTACCAGCAAGTATCTTACTCATTACAGCAACCATGTCAAATCTGATCAAATACAAACAAATAAACTAAAACATGTTGTAGTTAAAGCTAAATAATGCATCCCGTGAAGTTTCCATGTAGCTGGAGCATGAGAAAGTTACTGATTTTTTTTTTACTATGCTCAGGGAGCTTGTTTCAAACATTGTTTTTTCACTATTGGCGAGATCAAAACCTCCCTTTCCTTCCCCTGATTTTCCGCCCGTACAGATGGCTTCCCATCAGAGGAAGAGTCCCCCTCCTTCCCCAGAACTCCTCTCACTATGAAGAGCAGCAGGGCAGAGGGAGTTAGCTGTGTATTCACAAGACAAGAGACGACATCTGTGTCCGACATTGTTCCTGTGGAACATGGCTGAGCTCACCAGGAGGACCACACTCTATTACTGGTTCTTCTTTGTGTTTCCACCGCCCAGAGCCCTAGTGGTGCTGCGTCATTGTGTCATTGTTTGTGACGTAACCGTTTACAGAGCAGTCTGCTCTATTCACCAACACAACCAACGCCAGTCCCAGAACCAAATACAGAATGACCCGCTCTGAAGCAGTCCGGTATCACTGCGGCTCATTCAGAGACACACATGGATTTGAGTTTTTTTTAAAAACTGGTGTTAGGGTCATTTCATGTTTTTGGTGGATTAAAAAAAGTCTTTCAGAGTATGAACGCCATCTTGCTATATTCAGATAAATACTTTGTAATGTTTTTGAAGACAGGAGGAAAACTTCTGCGATCATCGTCTCCTCTCGGTTGCTCCCCACTGCCCCCAACCTGAAAATAATGAGTGACAAGCTGATAGTAACCATAGTAACACGGAAGGGCCCGGAACAGGGGGTTTTCAAAGTCTTGGCTTTCAGACCATTCAAATATTGCTAAATACATATTATAAATAGTGCTTGATCAATAAAAAAAAGGTAGTTATTAATAAGGTTATTACTAAAAAACAATAATAATCCAATCTAGAGGCAATTATGTAATGTAACATAATTTTTTATATTTATATTTATTTTACTGACGCAGGAGAAAGTAGATAAATATACGGCCTGTTTGATCGCGTTAGAGCTAGTTGTAGTTAGCCTCTGCATGCTCCAAGTTCAAAATACCTAGCTTTCAAGCAAAGATTATGATGACATGTACAGCAGGGGTACCCAAACTTTTTTGAACCGAGAGCTACTTTTAAAGTTGCCAGTCTGCCGAGATCTAGCAGTCCAAATAGAGAGGCGCAGCCATTACTGACATATAAATGTGTATTTACCTGGTAGTAGGCTGTCAGTAATGGCTGCGCCTCTCTATTTGGACTGCTAGATCTCGGCAGACTGGCAACTTTAAAAGTAGCTCTCGGTTCAAAAAAGTTTGGGTACCCCTGCNTTTCAGAACGAGGCGGAAAGTATTAAAAGAGGGGAAAATCACTCCAAGTCTGGGCATGTTGAGAGCTGTACATACACACAAGGGGAGTTAGTCGGTTCCGTAACGGCCCGTCTACACTACAGGCATCGAAAAATGCTTTCAACGCTTCGCCCATTCACTTGAATGGGGTGACNTTGATACAGAGTTGGAGTTTACTCACACGTCAGATACTACAGTGGGTAATGTTTTCAAGAAACATTGAACAGTGCTGCCACATATGACACAGGGAAAAAAGAAAAGACTCTGAACCCTTTCTTTGCCATTATATAAAAATAGTGTTGCTACAAAAGTATAAATTATGCGTACTAATAACACAACTCAGATCTGAAGCTACACAGGAATTTGCTGCAATAAGTGCAATAAAAAAGACAAAATTAATAGAATAAAACCCTTTTCTTTTTTTTGCATTTTAGTATAAAAAGAAATGGCTTTAAAATAGGATGCAAGCAACACTAGTTTCTTAACCTGAATTGATAATAGACTATAATCAATTTAAACAGAACAGATCTTAATGTTTGCATTCTTATACCATTTTGTACAATAATTATAATAAATAAGTTCAAACAAACTAAAACTTGGTGGCAATCGAGTGGGGCTAGATCTTAGAAATGTTTTTAGGGGCCAAGAGCCGGCCCTGCTGCGGTAGAAACAGAAAGAACCAGGGCACTAGCTCCGAACTGGCCCTGGAACTGCTTTGGTGGGAAAGGGGCATTAGAGGAACTGCCCAGTGGCACCCTCTGATGGGGATACTTCTTTACTACAAAAACATGTATAAGAGGTGCAGAAATGCATTAAATCAAACAAGTTAATGTTCATCCTTTAATCTCACTGGTCATTTTTTATTATTTCTGCAGTTATGGGGCAAATTCGTGAATCAAAGATATTTCCTATTGGTCACTCATAACATTTTGGTGTTACTTTGAAGGATCCTATTATATCAGCTACAGTACATAAAACCCACACAAAACCATAGGTGTTGATTTCAAACCTACACAAAACTTTAAGTAGAGTCCAAATCAACTTTTCTACTTCTTATGTTTCAAATGATATGCCTAAGCAGATTGTTTACAAAGCATTACCCATTTACCCAAATGGAAAATAGTAAGGAAATCATTAACTCTCTGCTTAGTTAAAAGTAGGAGATTTATGAGGGCATTTGTTGTGACCTACTGTCAATGTTTGATTACCAACATTTAAAGGTCAACTTACTCTTTGTGAAAGTGTATCACTGGTTTAGCTTAACTGTATAACAAAAAACTAAATATTTATTTAACATGGCCCACTTTATATTTCTTACCTGTGCTGCTCTTCAGCTTGGACTGTGGTGTCCCGGCTTTGGAGGCCTTGAAATCATCCCTCCCCCGGGTTGGCTGCCTCAGCCTGCTGAACAGAGGGGATGGTCTGGGACTGGCAGGTGGAGGTTGTAAAAGTTGTGCTACTCTTGTTTGTCGAGGAGCTGGTCGTGCACGAAATGTGCTCTTACTCTCATCAGATGAGGCTCCCGTTGTTGTCACTTCATTGGACTCTAGCTGCAAAAAGAACAATTTCTCATTCAGTCCCTCATCTTTGTGCAATTGGCCCCAACAGTTATTTTATCTGTTGTTAAAATGCCACTAACTTTTCAGTTATAACATCATTTCTAAGTTCAATCCATCTGGATTTGATGTGGCTTAAAGTAAAATATGTCAGAACATAAATATGAACAGCACTGTAATGAGAATATGACAATGAGTCAATACTCACCACCAGGCTGATCCTCTTCACCTCTCTTGAGGAGTTCTTAGCTGGTCGGTTTCCCGCCTCAGTCGGAATGGCCTGTTTATTGAGGGCATTGCTGCTCAAGTTCCCTGTTCGGGTCTGGCCCAGGTGGGTTTTAGCTTTGGGAGTGGTAAAGCTAGATGAAAACCTTGCAGTTGCACTCTTTTCCCTCGGTGGCCTGGATGACGGTGATGAACTCTCCGATGAGCAGCGAGGACGCGTCTTGGGCACAGAAGGCTGACCTACAGCTGAGCCTGATGCGACCTTCATTTGGTCTAACACTCCCTTCTTTGGAATTGATTTGGGATCAGTTTGGCCACTTCTATCAGGGGATTTTCCTGAGGATGAGAAGCAGAAGGTCTGGTTGCCAGAATGCTCTGCTGTTGCAGTTTCTGCTGCTTGGCATGAGGCTGCCTGTTCTGTTGCGAAGCTGGCGTTACTGCATACTTCTGAGGCAGGTTTATTTGCAGCTGGGTTCGGGCCAGGTGGGCATGCTCCACTCTGTCCCTGTCCACCCGTAGCAGTAGGGCCAGACGACTGTGGAGCAACCGAATTAGCAGCCCCTGTACTCATTCGTCTCGGAGCATCATTGACCACTTTAGTGGTGGTAGAGGCAATCGCAGTGCTGCTCCTTAAATTGGTTGGACTAATGCTGTCAGTAGTTCCTCTTTGTGCTTCAGTGTGTTTATTGTTCACGCTAACTTGTGATGGTTTTAGCTGTGAAGAAGAGCCTGACGCTGATAACTGATGCACATTTCTTGTAACAATTTTTGATTTGACACTGCTGAAGTCTGACTTGGGAAACTTCTTGATTTCCATTTTCTTGACCTTTGTGACTGCAACCAAATGATTAGGAGCTGCAGAGTTTTGCTGCCGTTTAACAGGGTTGTGTCCTGGGTTTCCTATGTTCTCAGTACAGGGAGACACTGAAAAGGAGGGGGGGCTGGGTATCATGTTCCCAATGCTTTGTACTGGAGTGGAAGTATGAATAACATGATCAGTGTCTTGCATAACTGACGGAGAGTGCATAAAGGTATCGCCTTGTTCTGGTGTGAATGCTGCAGTGAAACAGAGCAATGGCTCTTTTTGGGAACCGGCAATCTGAGCTTCCTTTCCGCAATTTGCAGGAGATTTTTCACAGACAAAGGTCTTCAAAAGAGCTCCCTCATTCTCAGCTGGCAGAGCTACAAAAGGGCTGGATGTAGCCATATCATTTTCTTCACTAGGTAGCATATCCTCAGTGAAAGTCAGGCTAAAACACATATGGCCCATGTTCTCCTCGATGACTTTTTCTGTAGATTTTTCAAAGACATCCTGCAGACTGGTTGACAGCAGGTTAGATTCAGTGGGAAATGTTGAATGGCCGGCAGCCAGAGACATGGATGACTCATCCAGGGAAGAGACCAACAGGGAATGATCCTCGAAGCAAAAACTGTTAGTCCTAATTACCATTTCCCCAGAGCTCAGGGAGCAGAAGTCATTCTCAGGGGACCCTCTACGGGAAGTGTCAACTGAACTCAATCGGCTCCCAACAGAGTCTGGAGACATCACTGCATAGCTACTCCCATCTTCCGTGTTCTCACTGAAAGTGTGGTACTTGTCTGATTCTGACTCATGGCTGCTCATCAGACTCAAGTTTTCATTCCAGAAATTCACACTGCCAGTAACAGGTGTGACAATAAATGTTTGGTTCAGGTTCAGGCTCACATCACTGAGCAAAGGATCCTTCGGTAAGGTGGTGTTGTAGAGGTTATCCAAGGAGGAGGTGTCGCTGAGACAGCACTCAGGGGAGCTGTTGGCTTCCCGGTCACTGGGGTTTGAAATACTACTGTGGGAGTCCGGTGAAGGCGACAGAGACGAGCTGTATAGACTCTCTGGAGAGAGGGCTTCTCTGTGGGGTGGAGGAACTGTGCTCGCAACTTGGTCCATAGACATGCTGAGAGTTGTCTTAGACATTTTGGACACAGGATTTCACCTACTTCTGTAGATCACCTCAAATTAGTTTGGTAGCACTTATTCAGGCATCAATATCTGTAAAGATGGGGAAAAGGTCACATTTTTTAAACATTTATCAACAGAATCTTTGAAGACTTTGTAATTTCACTGAATGTTAGCAGAAGCACTCAATACTAAGCTAAAGCACAGATATTCCAATATAAAATCTATCTCGGGCTCCATAAATGCTAAGGCATGCCTTGGTAAGCCTTTGTAGCCATTGTAACAGTGGATACTTTAAATATGTATGACTTGGCTCAATGAAAAATGCAAAAGCCATCATGATAATGCTCAAGGGAAAACATTTTGCAAGTCTGTCCAAATGATTTCCTACTTGGGCTATGCAATACACAATGTGATTACATTAAGATTGTTGAATATCAGGGTTCTTATGTTTTGCCAGACACTGCTGCTGTCTCTCATGGAACTTGGTTTCATAAAAGCCTAAATGTGAGGCTTGCCAAGAAGTAACAAGACATGTTTCTACTTGTAAAATGAGCCCTTTGGCATGAGAAATATATCGCAGAGTCTTAACCGCTTTGTTGTGTACCGTTGTGTTTATTTAAGCTGACTGGACTGCTAAGCTTGCCAGGCACTACTACAACAAAAGCACCATTGTGGTATGTACCACAGGAGAGCAAGATATCAAGTCACCAACAGCCCGAAAGTGTTCCAGTATGCAGATCCCAGACATCCTGGTGCATATAAGAAAACCCAACAATTGAGAAACTGAAAAACAGAATAATAAATAACCTAGTCTGCTGTACTTCTGTCACGTTTAAAGGGACAGTATACTGGTTAAGGAAGGAAGGGTGGAGGCTAAGAAGGTTCTGGCTGTCATATTCTAATGCAAAAATACTACATATCTAATGAAAACAAGAGTTAAGTGCATATTGTAAAGCATGTTGTTAACCTTTTCTTTTTTTATTCGTGAGTTGCATCCTGCTTGCTGTTGGCAGGTGTGTGTGTGTAATACTGCTAGGATAGAAATATATTTTATTGCAATATATTGCAGCAAAACCGTCTGGGTGTCAAAATAAGTCATTTCTTTCCCTATGTAACCACTGTACATAGGGAAAGGAATGGCTTATTAACCGTCTGGGTGTCAAAATAAGCCATTTCTTTCCCTATGTAACCACTGTACATAGGGAAAGGAATGGCTTATTAACCGTCTGGGTGTCAAAATAAGCCATTTCTTTCCCTATGTAACCACTGTACATAGGGAAAGGAATGGCTTATTTTGACACCCAGACGAAAACAAGGCTCTACTAAAGTGTTAAAGAGTCATAGACACCTGTAGATGCCTGACATGACAACAGAGTTAATTGTAGGTCTGGGGTACACAAAACTGTAATTACAGACAGTTTTTTCTCAGGGCCAAAATATCCACCTTTACAAACCAAATGTTGCTACCACATTGACTCAATAAGAATTTTGAGTATAACCTACAAATGACACATTCAGCAAGTCTCAAATCGAATGGATTGATAAGTTTCTTTATAAGAAAGTGTCAAATCAAAAACATAATGCTATATATAAATCTGGACCCTACCTTTGAACATGCACACTTCAAGATGTTAAATCATTAAAAAATGTTGGACCCAAGAGCAATGTTCAGTCAGTAAAGATAACATTATAAATGAAGTCTCTATTCTATTGCAAGTGATTTTAAGGACTTTAAAAATGTTAATATGCTTCAATCATTAGGTGTTCGTATTTAAAATGGCTTACGTTTCGACCGTCCTGCTGATAAGATACTTTATCAAAAGCAGCTCTGCTATTATCAACATGACCCAAAGTCCAAATCTGGATGAATCATGTTGGTTTAACAGGCAGAGAAAAAAAAACAGCGTACACTGCATTGACCTTCTGTACAATCGAATGAAATATACTGCCTTGGCAAACCTTTGTGCACATTGAACCTTGGCAGGAGCTGCCTCTCCAATACCACTGCAGTGTCTTCCCACACACAATATAACAGAACAGAGATGTTTTTGGTTTAAATCGTGACTACTAGGCATTATGTAAAGTACAACTGCAACTGAGACAAACCACGACCAGGCAGACAATGTACAAACAATGACACTTATAAGACACTGAGCCAACAAATAGAAAGAAAAACTGCCTGTAAAAATATTCAAAAGTGCTTACCTCTGACTTAAGAAGGATCAACTACATTATGAACCAACTCAAATACTGCCACTCTTTCCATTCACTGATAACAGAAGAAGAGAAAATGCGTCCACTATCAGCTGCCTGCCGTATCACGTCAGATCACGTTGTTGCAGGTTCAGCCAGCTCATTTTACCCTCTCAGAGGCAATCCCATTACTGCTGTCCCTCCAAAGCACTAAATCCAGCCAACTGGGCAGGCAGTGGTGTGCGAGTGAGAGAGCTTCAGCCAGCGGCCCCCGTCCCACCACTCCTCCCTCCTCGTGTTCAGCCGTGCATCAGTAACATCACAGCCTGAATGAGGGTGCCCCCTGTGCAGGAATAAGGTTATTTCTTTCCCTCGTGACTTCACTCCGGGCCCAGTGCAGCAATCTCTCTGGCCAGGCAGTGTCAGACAGTATCAGAGTTGGCTGCACATTGCTCCACAGTGCAGGCATGTCAAGGTCCGGCTAAAGACTGAGCTCAGTGTAAGCTCCACTCCAGAGTGAGCAAGGAGGAAAGCTACATATTACCTTATCCATGCCGAGCCCAGTGCAGGAGGAGTGGCCTTGGCCTGCCAGGCTGAGTTGGCATTCACTGTTGCTAAGCAGCCAAAGTCCCTCTTTTATGAGGGAATGTTTCAGGCTGCTTTTTAGTAAGGGATGAGTGAAAAGGGGAGCAGAATGACGGGAGGCCTGGTTTCCTGGAGGAATGTCGCTGTTGAATCGCTTATTCAGAGACACTTTCCACAAATGTTGGTTACTGTAAGGCAGATGAGTTATTCAGAGTTCTCCAATGATAATGTCACTGTCTGATGACACTCCCTCTTGTTATAGACAAACAGCTCGACATCTGATCCCAACGCTACAGCAGTGGTGTGACACCAGCATCTAAGGCCCCCTAAGACCTATGCTATTTCTGCCTAATCTATACAAGGCCTCTGACCCTGGGAACTGCAGTCTAATCTTAACCAGAGACGAGATGTAAATCATGGTATAGAGCGGACTTATTATGTCCCCTGAAAATAAGTCCTGTAAAATCTGTTATTAGGAGAGTCTAGTTATGTATTCTAAGCTTTTGACATCGACATCTTTGGTTTACATGCAGAACTAATGTCCATTTTCCACTTTAAGATGGGTATGTTGCCAACTAAATAGTATATTGTAAACTACGAACTCATCCATGCAACATATATTTCAAACCAGTAGGGGTACCCTCTGACACCTGACACTCACAGTAAACTCGCAACTACTGTGGGCTCTAATGGATGGTCTTTCCTTGCCTTGGCTTGGCTGACAGGACATATCAGTATCATACAGGGAGCAGTTATGAGTAGCAGAGACAGAGCTGCACAACACTAGAGCAGGGCAGCGGGTCAGGGAGATTCCAGCAGCATACCACAGGGACAACGCTGTCCTCTGTAAGCCACTGGGGAACAAAACCAAACCAATGAGCTGCCATAGAAGAACAGCATGGCACTGTCTTTCAAAAGTCAGAATATCAGCCGGTCTGCTCCAGAAACAAGTAGAAAAAGGCTTTCAAGACAAAGCTGTGGGTCTATGACATCTACTGAAAAACAGAGGCAAGTCACATCTGTCAGCAGCTGTCCTAAAGGATCTTGGTTCACTTTTCTCTTAGTTAGCCTAAACAGTGATGAATACACATGACATTTGCAGGGGGTGGAAAATGAAAAATAAACAATAAGAACAAACATTAGATTGGACCGTCGCTAGTATGTTTTTTTGACAGGCTGAAGGTCAAGATTGAACACTCAAGCTATTGTTGGGTATACACTATACCAGGGGTCGGCAACAGGCGGACCGGATCCATAATCAATACATTAATAGGAGATTTCAATTTTGACGGGGCGATTCTATTTTAACCACCGCCGACAGGGGGCGAAAGAGACGAGTGAGCGATACAGGGAGAGAAACACAGAAGAAGAGATGAGAGCGCAGCAGAGAGAAGCGGACAGGGAAGTGAGTGAAGAGAATAATTAGCGATACAGGGAGAGAAGATGAGAGGAGAGTGAACAGGCGTGTTAGCGGCAGACAGGGAGAGACAAATAATTACACATGGCGCTCTCCAAGAAGAGGAAAGTGGACAGTGAGAGCAGAGCTTGTGAATATTTGTTACAGAAAGTGAGGGGTTTTAGGTTGCCATAACGCTGTTGACGGTCTTATTATACATCCATTGGTTGGTTTTGTGGCATTTGTAACGCTGTGCAAACTTAAGCGCACACAGGGTGGAGAGGTGGAGTGAGTTTGAGCGATGGAGAGAAAGGGAGAGAGAGAGAGGAGAGAGAGAGAGAGAGAGAGAGAGAGACAGAGAGAGAGAGGAAAGAGAGAGAGATATAGGGAGAGAGAGAGAGAGAGAGAGAGGGAGGAAAAGAGATGCCTCGTTTATCTCCCCTGTGTTATCAGAAGTTTCTGTAATCTTTTGAATAATGTAGTTCTTCTTCTTTTAGTAGTTTGTTTAAATGTTTTAATAATGTTGTTGTTGTTGTTTTTGTTTGTAGAAGTGCATCATTCTTTGATTTATTGTAAATGAATCTTTTTGATCTGTTCTGATGATAAACTGAAGCCNGGCTAATGTTGGGCTATAAAGGAACTACAGCACGGTCACATGACTTCACGTCACCACCGCTAAGGTAAAGATGGCTAATGTTGGGCGTGATTACGTTTCGTTGTCTCATTTAGACACCGCCCTTTTTAAAAGTCATCAGTGGGATATTTACTCACGTAACTTATCTGGTAGAACGAACCATTAAAATCTTATTATACTTGACAATAAATAATTATTTTTCTCAAACAAACTGATGAACCAAACCTCCGTGTGCAGCCATCACATGCAGTCTGTACGGCAGAGACTCTGTTCGGGGGTCGTTCTTCAAAGCACAGGTGTAGTTCCCAGAATCCTTTGCAGTCAGAGCGCTGAGCCTGAGGGCGGGGCCAGACTGAGGGAGGGCGTGGCCGTCTCTGGACCAGGTGACCTCCAGCTGGTGGAAAGTGCAGCGTGCAGAGCAGAGCAGAGAGACGGCTCCGTCTGGTTCACTGGAGTCCTTGATCTGCATTGGATCCCCATCTAAAGGACAGTCAAGAGGTTCCATTGACTTGCAGTCTCTAGACTTCAGATGGCACTTTATTACTCCTGACTTTCCTTGTAATCACAATTACACAATTACTACATCAGCATCATTACAGGGACTGAAGTGAAACAAGGCCATCAGTCATCCTTTATAACGTTGATAGTGCAGTGATGTTACATTGAAATCAGACTTCAGGGCAAACCTTTGAGCGCGGCATCATTTGTGTTAACTTAATTAATTATCTTTAATAAAGTGCCATGAACCCCAAATAACCATAACCTGTTTTCATCAAATCAAGGTATGAAAAGAATGCCTCCAGAATATCTCCATCATGAAGGCAAAGAGTGAATTCCTGCTGTGAGCTCTGTTTGTGAAGGCTAGGCTAACATCGTAGCTGCTGCATGAACACTCAAAATGACGTCCTCTAAACTCGGCCTAACTACAGCGGAGATGTCATTGTTTACATGTTACGTGTTCCCCGTGTGTTTCCCCTGTAGCTCCTCCCCCTCCAGGTGAGCTGCACCTGGAGGGGGAGGAGCTAAAGTTCAGAAGCAGAAGAGGGAAGAGCATTTCACTGACTGTCCTTCATTTTATTTCTATTCTAACCTTTTATATATCACCATATTGTATTCAATATGCTCTTAGATAACCTTTTATTTTATTTGTTTTGTTATGTTCTCCTCATAGCACTGTGAAGCGCCTTGAGATGACGCTGTCTTTAAAGTGTGCTATGAATGAAATGTATTATTATCATTAAGAGGCGTCTGTCGTTGGGACTGCTGTGGTTCTGCCGCTCAGCCTAAGATGTTTGTTCACTTGTTGAATTGAAATAACTCCAGTGGATTTGATTATTTAAAGGTGTCTTCTGTGTTGTATCTGGGTCAATGGTGGATGTGTGTGTTAGCCCCATAGGGCCACCTGAGGGCGGGGCGTAACAGGACATCAGTCTATAGGTCAGACTATATTAGAACGCATAGGAACATTTGGTTGAAGAGATGCAGAAGGGTAAAAAACACTAACAATAAAATAATACATGTAGACAAATATATTTAGTTAATTCACGCTGTCTGCATCGTTGCTGTTACCCGGTCAGGATTATGAATGTTAATGCTCATTAATAATAAGTGTTAGCATAGCAACACGATGCTCTTACCACTGACTGTGACTCTCACTCCTGGTTGGCCAGTAAAATGTCCTCTGCGGTCATTAGCTTCCACTCTGAAGCGAAGAGTTGCATCGTCTCCCTCCTGTAGATCTGAGATCTGTAGAGAGCAGTTTCCCTGCTTGTCTCCCAGGTATCTGTAGCGAGGGTTGTTCCTCTCGTGAGTTCCTCTCTGATTCGCTGTCGTACACAGACGGAGTTACGCCCTGACAAATAAGATGGTTCTGGCACCAGACGACTCTCCGGATCTCTATCAGAACTTCTCTTCCTTCTTCATCCCTCACAGACTTCAGTGTTGAGAAGGTGCAGGGGAGGGTGACCTTTGACCCTTTCACGCCACAAACCGGACCTGGATAGTTCACACTCTGATCCAAAGCACCTGGAGACACACCTGGTTGCAGAACAAGGAAAACATACTTCAGTTTCTTCAATCTCTCTGAGCGTGAAGGCTTGAGAGATGTGTGGTTTGATCTCATGCCAACAGGACGACAGCACCGGAGAGACAGACGAGTGTTTGGACCGAGAGCCGGTTGGACTGTCGGCTAAACAGTGTGGTAGAAATACAAACGATGACCGGAGCTCACCATGTGTGTGGTATTATCATTCAGAGCCTCACAGTCCCATACGGTGATGCCCAGAGATTAGATGATGACATCCTAAAACCAAGATGGTGACGACTGTAGGAAAACCCTGAATGTCCTCTTCCAACATGAGAGTCACATGATATCAAAGGTATCAACTGTAGCTGTGAACATGACAGGATGTGTACTCTCATGTTGGAAGAGGACATTCAGGGTTTTCCTACAGTCGTCACCATNTGGGCTGAACGCTGCCGGGGTGGGGGGGGTCAGACCTGCTCACAGACATGAAGAACCACTGATCTCTGTCATGCAGGGGGGGGTCAGGGCTGCTCACAGACATGAAGAACCCCCTGCAGAGGAGTCTCTTCGTGCTCATTGTGGGTCTGTTTGCAGTGTTTCAGATGTATTTGTAGTCCTTGTGGGTCTTTTTGTAGTCCATTGAATGGGAGTACAGGGTAGACCCATACTATGTGCCTGTACCCTGTGTTCCCATTCAGTAATACCTGCTTTCAGCTTGTCCTTAAAAAAACAAAAAATGTAAATCAAAAAAATGAAATCTGTTGAATCTTTTTCTCAAATGAAAATTCAACGACAGAAATTCAAATCTTATCAGAATTAATATTTGCCTCCTCTGTCGGTCTAAATCAGACCCATGT